ATTCACCAGCACTTCTTAGATACCACTGCTGACGGACTGTTAACCCGATGTTATCATCAGATCAGTAGTCAGCTCGATAGTAATGACATGATTAATAACATTCTTTTCTTTAAATTGATAAATTAAGAAATTACTAAAAAAAAAACCAAGTAGGCCTTAAATAAATGTTGCTATTATTTTTATGTTCCTTTTAGTCAATTAGCTCCCCACACATTCAGGTATATATATACAACCCTGGTTTCCGAATGCTTGGTTTGTCTAATTATGAGAATAAATTCATAAAAACGCGGCATACTCAAGACATTTAATTAGCGTTGTTTTCATCTACAAGACATTTACTATTGATGAGCAACTCGGACCAATCACTAAGTTTTGACAAACCTTGTCCGCAGAATCGAAATTATCACGTTGCAATAATGATGATAATGATAATATTATTTATACATATAAACGGCATAATAAAATATCATAAGTTACATTTTATCTTATAATGATGAAAATATTGATTATTTAATTGAATAATTAAATCCAACGGCAACTATTACATGCATATTGAGGACGAGAGCAAACAAACAATTAATACATTATTTAGTTTATTCAAGTTTTGGTAGGTTCAAAATTATAGACTGTTACTGGAAATGAAGGTATGCTGGATTGGGAAAGAAATTTTCTCTGGCAAGAGGCCAACAAATGATTCTCAGAGAGTTGTAGCCAGGCATCTAAAAGGTCTATGACGTTCCCATTCTGACTGGAAATGACTCCGAATTGGTACACTTGCACAGACAACTGAACAACCCTCTTCGGCAAGGGGATTACCGTATGATTGGAGAAGACCAAGGAAGATCATATTTCTATAGCCTTGTAAACCATCTAAAAGAGCCCAAGATCATACTACTCTGTCACGTTGACATGTATGTTTCTTAGCATTTAATGATCAAACGTAGGAGTGATCTTATCAACTGAAGGCAAACACAAGTGCAACAACTTGAATTAGACTGAGTAAATCAATGAACACTAGCATAAGGTCAACTGTCATATCCCAAATATGTTAGTTCAAAATTGTAAGAATAAAAACTATTACTTGCAATTGGTGAATATTTGCAATTTTAAGCTTTGTATAATTATTTAATGTCCTCGCTGCTGAAGGACCATCTTACATATCTTATAATGTGTAAATTTTACTGTTTGACAATTTACAAATCAATTGTAATAATAAATGAGTGAAATCCAAACCATACTTAATGAATGTCTGACTGTAAAATGGTTTAACAAAATTAATGTTTCTGCCACGCATTATTGCTTACAGGGCCATAATGTCGTTCTATTTTGGGATCTGAAATATAAAGATGCGCATTTCGACAATCAATGTCTCTTCAGGGATGTTCGATGACAAAATATTTGAAAATCCAGAACATAATATAAAAGCTGAAGAGCTGATTAAACCAATAGGACATAAATCATTGTCAAATTTGAACAAGGAATCAGAGGTTTGCATGATGGAGATATATTCCTTTCAAAATTGTAAAACCGTAAATATTAATTAAGCAATTATCATGCCAGTACCGACCCAGTGGTAAAAATAAACTTAACTGTACAAATTTTACTGAATCAGATGCGCCAAAAATATTTGAACATCCAAACTTAAGACAAACGTTGAAGAACTGATACAAGAGTGCACACGCTGAAATGTCTCGCCTTCTTTACCAATCATTGATATTATGTTGATAGTCCTAAATATAAAGCTTTATTACAACTGTCACATAAACTTAACATTAACCAAGAAAACTAAACATTGACCAATGAACCATGAAAATGAGGTCGAGGTCAGATGAACCATGCAAGGCAGGCATGTACAGCTAACAATTCTTCCATACAACAAATATAGTTGACCTATTGCTTATAGTTTAAGAAAAACAGACCAAAACACAAAAACTTAACTCTGAGCAATGAACTGTGAAAATGAGGTCAAGGTCAAATAAAACCTGCGCGACTGACATGTAGATCATAAAATATTTCCATACACCAATTATAGTTGACCTATTGCATATAGTATAAGAAAAAAAGACCAAAACTCAAAATCTTAACTTTGACCACTGAACCATGAAAATGAGGTCAAGTTCAAATGACACCTGCCAGCTAGACATGTACACCTTACAATCATTCCATACACCAAATATAGTAGACCTATTGCATACAGTATAAGAAAAACAGACCAAAACACAAAAACTTAACTATAACCACTGAACCATGAAAATGAGGTCAAGGTCAGATGACACCTGCCAGTTGGACATGTACACCTTACAGTCCTTCCATACACCGAATATACTTGACCTATTGCTTATAGTATCTGAGATATGGACTTGACCACCAAAACTTAACCTTGTTCACCGATTCATGAAATGAGGTTGAGGTCAAGTAAAAACTGTCTAACGGGCATGAGGACCTTGCAAGGTACGCACATACCAAATATAGTTATCCTACTACTTATAATAAGAGAGAATTTAACATTACAAAAAATGTTAACTTTTTTTTCAAGTAGTCACTGAACCATGAAAATGAGGTCAAGGACATTGGACATGTGACTGACGGAAACTTCGTAACATGAGGCATCCATATACAAAGTATGAAGCATCCAGGTCTTCCACCTTCTAAAATATAAAGCTTTTAAGAAGTTAGCTAACGCCGCCGCCGCCGCCGCCGTAGCCGCCGCCGCCGCATCACTATCCCTATGTCGAGCTTTCTGCGACAAAAGTCGCAGGCTCGACAAATCCAATCGGGATATACGCAGTCTTCACGATGAACTGCTAAATCTACAGGCCCGGAGCTCAATTTTTGAAAATTTTTAGTTAGATTCTGTTGGCTTGTAGATATGATTTTTACAGGCCCGAGAGCAATATTACAAGCCTGGGCTGCCTGGGCTGCCACTCAGCGTGAAGTTGAATGTTAGTTGAGACACAAACAAATTCTGTGTAGTGACAGAATATACTGTGTAGTGTCGATTGCAGTCGTTCTTACTCATAACACTGATGTATCCATTTTAACACAATGAAAGCACCCCTGGAAAATTTAAATCGTCCCGTTTATAGATGTGGTATGATTGTAAATGGGACATACCACTTAAACAATGAGAAAAAACCAATACCATATAGTCGGCTTTCAAAAGGCTTCGACATGAAAACAATACAAACAAGAAAACTAACGGCCTAATTCATAACAAAACAATTTACGAAAACACAAGTATGACAGACATGAGCCAACGACAACCAATGAACAAAAGGTTGCTGACTTTGGACAGGCACACACATAATGTGGCGTGGTTAAACATGTTTATAGTTGTTATTTCTGTGTCATTTGGTCTCTCGTGGAAAGTTGTCTCATTTGCAATCATACCACATCATCGTATTGTATAATGTTAGCGCTCAACACCATGTAACCATATAAAAAGTACCTGATAAAATATGCACAATACAAGCTCCTAATCTGAGAGAGATCCGGTTAGCTTACTATTATTAGATTTTATCAATGAGTAAAATAATGACTTCCTATCAAAAAAAAGATAAAGAATCTTATTTCTGCACATTTTTTATCTTCGTCTCACCTGTCCATATATGCAGAAACTTCATATGTGATAAAATTAGTTCAACGCGTGATGAGTTTACATTCACTAGTGAAATAAATACATACCGATTTATCAAGCAACCAAATACCATAGCAATGCGTTTGACAATTAACTGATCGTTGTTCGCAGAACTTTTCTTTGTAAGAAATCTAAAGGAGATGTTGCTAGAATATATTAATGTGCAAAGAGTCCCGTACTATTCATACACGAGGCATCAGATATTAGGACCCCATTCCGGCCGGACGTGACTTCATATTCATACATCCCGCAAACGGACGACCATTGATGGTTAGTCGTATTCCTCCGAAAGAGAAACTTTGACTAATTTTAAACTTCATGGAAATCCTCGGAGAGGGGGCATCAAACGATGTTATCAACTATTATTCACAATAATGATGCAGTGAATACATTTGCTCGATCATCTGAAAACCATCTTTCTTACGCACAAATCTGGTTGCTAAGCGCGTTTGCTTCTAAATGTTTGTCTTTTCTGTTATTTTAGAATTTTTTCGTTTCCATGCTTTAACTGGTATTTAGATGCTTTTTCTCGATTATCATCGAGCAGCTATTACTTGTAAAGTTTTGAATAGCGCAGCTATTGTCAAATGTGTAACAACCTTGAAAGAGTCTGTATACCAACATCCACTTGGCCTATTTGCATAACAATATAAGGATTATGATGTCTATACCAAATAAATACTAACTGCTTCCGTTCAAATCTCTTTATTCATGTACGAAAAGATTAACTACAAAATAAAGGATAAAACACACTAATTTCTACTATCAAAACTAACAATTTCTGAACTATAATACAACACAAAAGTGCATCTATTGTAACATACACTTGAGTAATATGTTGAACATTTACGGTAAATAATTGCCAACATATCAAGGTCAAATTTTATCAGTTTTACATCAATTAAACTCAAAATTTCTATCTTTTAACATGAAAGATAATTAATCTGTAATAAATAAAAGAAACATACCATATTGGTTGACTCTGGTATTCCTTATTTTCATCATAATCAAAGATTTTCACCAATCACATTTCGTGCAAATTGCCTAAAGGGGTTCATTAAGGTAAAGGGAAAGTAACTTACACCTTATCTTAAAATAGAATATAACTAATTACCAAAAATACAACAATAGGCAACAATATTTTTTGTTCTCAAATTTGGACGCTACATTCCGGCCCCTTAATTGTGGTTTTAAAGAACTCAATTATCTAAACTATAAGGAGGCCACATAATTTCCCAATTTAAGTGACGATTAATAAACTAAAGCTATATATAGTCTATTTATACAACAATGTATTTTTAAACACAAATTACTGTTCTAACATGACTAGTCCAAACTATGACTCTAAATGATTCTACTTTACATCCAAAATCACAGTCGTCACAAAACAAAATTAAAATTGCTCCTATTTATGTATCATGAAACTCCAAAAAGTAAATTAGTGCAAATGCACAATGCAATATCTCTGCCAAACAACAGATTTAACCTGAAAATAAAAATAAAAGTAACAATAATAAGATTGAAAATTTCTTTCAAACACAAGCAGGTTAAAAATAACAGGAAAATAAAGTATACCATATATATCGATAACTATGTATCATACAACATAATGTTCATTGTTATTGAAGTTGTTGTTATTAAACTTATGATATTATGTAATTCAGAAATTAATCTGCATACTTTATATATGTATTCAACTTATCTACTTGATATGCTAAAACTATTGTCTATATTGTATACTTTTGAAGACATGTGGAATATAGAAATGAATACTAACATATATAAACAATGCAAAAAAGAAAGTATGTCAAGCTCTAGTTCAATAGATTGTTTTTTGATATATTTTATTTTTTGTGCACAACATATATTTATTATAATTAATTACATCTATAATGAGTGAAAAACTACATATATGTTCCTTAAACTGTCAGGGCTTAGGGCAAAAAGAAAAAAGAGAAAGACTAAACCTATTGTTCAAAAATCAAGTGTAATATTTTATTCATACAAGAATCACATTTTATTGGAAAAAATGAAAATGTCATAAACAATGAGATAAAAGGCAAATTTTTCCACAGTTTCGGAAATTCTCAATCAAGAGGGGTCTCAATACTAATCAAAGAAAACATTAAACATAAAACTATCAACGAAATTAGAGATAATGATGGAAGAATAATACTCGTTAATATAGAACTTGATGGTGATATCTTTACACTACTGAATGTGTATGCTCCAAATACTCGTCGAAACAGAAACTCATTTTTCAAAAAATTAAATAATATCATTAATAATAACCGTTTAGGAATAATCATAATGGGGGGTGACATGAATGAAACTTTAACATCATATGATAGAAAAAGCATTAGATGTAATAATCAAAATAAACCTGTCAATAGTTTAAAACAACTAATAAAAAAACATAAACTTATTGATATATGGAGAGAACTAAATCAAAACACCAGTCAGTTTACTTGGATAAAGAAAAAGCAATATAAATGTTGCAAGCAGAATTGATTATACGTCAGAAAAACTCATAAGATATTAACTCGAATAATTCAGCGCCCTCTATCCACTACTTTTCTCGAGGGCTTGAAGGCATAGTGACCATTGGTCGCGTCAGCCCTGTACAAATTGTACAGACCAATCAGAGTCTATCCCATGGCGAGTCTGCGCAAAAGATTACTTCCGTGGTAAATACCGCTTGTTTACAAAATTCAAAATGGACATCGATCAATGCCTCCGAATGATAGAAGATAAATATGACTTCAAGTTTAAAGAAAAACAAGGAGAATCTATTAAAGCAATTGTCCAATTGAATGATACATTCATTACTCTGCCGACGGGTTATGGAAAGTCCAGTATTTATTTTTAACTGCCCGAGATATTTGAGACCTTGACTGGAGAGAAATCGTCTATTGTTGTCATTTCACCGCTACAAGCATTAATGCTGGACCAAGTGCAAAAACTGGAAAAACTGTCAATAACATCAGTTGTGGTTGGTGAACGCCAGAAAGACAAAAGTGTCGGCCAGAAAATATCAGAAAGACAATTTTCAATAGTATTTTCCTCGCCAGAGGCTGCATTGACATCTGGAATGTGGAGGAAGAGTCTGACATCAGGTGTTTTCCATGATCGTGTAAAGGCAGTGGTCATTGATGAAGCACATTGTATAACTAAATGGTAAGTTTAATCTCTTATTGATTGTATTATAGCAGTGGCGGATCCAGGATAAGGGGGTGGGGGTCTGGTGATTTGAACCCTCCTTTTTTATGATCAATGCTTTTATAAATGAGGACATACAATAGGACCCCCTTTTAAATTTTAAACATGGCTAGATCTGTATATTCATCCTTGTACTGTATCTATCATAATTGACATTATGCCAAAAAAAGAGGATGGATTGGGTATTTAGAAAAGAAAATGATGGGAATCATTTTATAAAAAAGTATAAAGAAAAATGGTATAAACTATTAAAGACCAAAGAACTGAGGAATCACATCAAGACCCTCTTACATGTACAATGTATTACTGGTCCCAGTATTTATGATGTCTTGAAAGGCATGAAAGGAAGGGATCACTGCCAAAAAATAAATTGGCTATTCATAATTGTTTGTATTAACATGTATTAAATTGTTATAAATTTACTGAATTGTTCCATACATGTATATACAATGCATATACTGAGGAAAAAAATAAAAAAAAAATAAAAATACTGATCTTAATTAAATTTTTAATGATAAATTCTAAATGTTGTTGGTCATGTATAATAAATTTTCATTGCACATGATAATGAAATACTGTAAATTCATCATTGCGTGTATTATTATTGTAATTTTTGAAGAAATAATAAAAGTTAAGAGTTCAATTATTGCAATTTGGGGAAAGCTGCATCAGATATATGTTTTTGGTATATATCATAATGAGAGTTCTTATTATTACAGTCGTCGGGTAGTCACATTATCAACATTAATAAAAACCTTGCAAAAATTTCTGAATTAACAGTAATGTATGTCAGTTGCTTAAATAAAATAGGCAACACTGAGTTTGAATTATGTTGAATTGCTTCTTTTAAAATAGATTTATTCTGTGTTATAATTATCCTTTAAGTTTAAATGTACTCTTATTTCAGGGGTGGTGAATTTAGAAAAGAATATAACAGACTTAATGAACTGAGATCAGTTTTTCCAGAAAAAACAGCCTTTGTAGCCCTTACTGCAACAGCAACACAAGCCATGAGAACCGAAATAATGAAGAAACTCCAAATGATACGATATGACACATGCACGGTATCACTTCTCCCTGTCAGGATTCAGCGATGAAAATTTTGTACATGCTACACTTTTCAAAGAGTCTGTCAAAGTAGAAAGTTTCTTCTGACTCCTATATATACCCTGTATAACATTATAGCACTTACTGCAAACAAAACAGTCTTGTTCATTACCACTGAAATCATGCAGTTCAACACCACCGTAAACTGACTCCAAAGTTTCTAATATATTGATTTCACCGTGAATCTTATTAATATTCCTCCTACATTCCTTCGTTAAATTCTTCAGATCAAACACATGTGTACAATGAAAACACGTTTCTTGCTCCATTGCACATGTTTACAAACAATTTTAAACTCCTCCTCTATTTCGCGCCATACGTCAAGATATATTAATCCCATGATGCAGCTCGTTTCTTTAACTTCCGGTTGACGCGTTTTGACTGTACGTGCATTCAGGCGTTAATGGAGTGATCGTAGTGATCGTAATATAACGACTGAATTATTCGGGTTAATAAGATATAACATTGCAATTGCCTTCATTAGCTACTTCAGAAAACGACCTCCTTTTGTAGAGAGCATAAGATAGGGTAGATAACTCCAGGAAAAAAATGACTTTAAAATTGCTTAGGTCATCACTCTTATTACGCACGGGATGCACGACGGTTGGATATACCTATATCATTTATTGAACAACTTATTTTGACTTGAAAGGATATTGCATGCAGATCATAATATAATACAATTAATATAAATACAGGTAAAAATTATTTTTGAAGCATGTTATTTGAGAAAAAACGATTTTTAAGGAGAGTTTTTGCGGAAGAAGGTACGAATTTTTTTTTTAAAGTTCAAAAATTGTAATAAAGAATTGATTATACCTAAAAGTACCTGTATTTTTCGTATATATAGGGACCAATTATTCTTGGATGTAATAGTTTTGACCAAAAAATTGTGTGTTAGTATGTGAAAAAAAAAGTTTATTTTGAGAATGAAAGTTTGGTCCCCTAGATCTATAGTCATTTTTTTTTCTTCAAAAGTATGATAAACCTTGCCCAAAAAGGTTTTCATGGGGAATATCATTCAATGATGAAATCCCGTTTTCCAAATTTTATATAAAAACTTTGATATTGACAAAAGAAGGGGAAAGGGGGGTGGGGGGGGTGTAGTCATTCAAAACCTAGCTGTCACCCTTAATTCATAATGAGTTGATTACTAACATGTGATTTAAACCATTTCAATACAATCCCACTTTCAGTCTCTGATTACAATCCTTTCTTTTACCTTACAGATTATCAAATATGATTAACCTAATTGTAAGCTTTGCCTGAGGGTCACATACATGTAGATATATCTATGCAGCAATCAAGGATCAATATCAATGAGTATCATGAATACAATTCAAAGCCATGATCAATTGTCCTAATTGTTTAATGATTTATTTAAAACTAAATGACCAATCTTCCATATAAGGCTAAGGCATAATATAACTAACTAGATACATGTAGTGATGTACATGTTTATTGCAACAAATGACAACCTCATGAGTCATGACATATTGTAAATTTTTAATATACTGCAACAAATTACAACCTTATGTACTGTAAATGTATAAAGCAACAAATGACAACCAGAGTAGGATTTAGGGGCAGGGCCCCGGCCCTCCGTTTCCCTGTAAAAAAATGATTAATTATATAGAGAATCACTGAAGCATGACCAGAACAGGACCCCTCTGAGGCAGTCAGTGGGCGCGGCCCATAAAATTTGTTGATCTGCCACTGACAACTTCATGTAGTGTACATCTGTATACTGCAACAAATGAGAACTACTGAATGACAAAATACTTATTTCAAATCTCATGATTCCATTTTTGTATTCTAATCATACAAAATGGAATTCTTTCGCTACACATCACATTTAACAACACATTCACATTTGCTTTAACTAAATGAATGCATTTCTCAGAACATTATTGATGTATTGCCATTATCATGATTATGCACTTCTCTTTTGAATTTTTAGTCCAATTAATTTCTGGGTTTTCAAAAATAAACAAACAGTTCTTATTGTCCCCTGCGAAACGCCATGCAGGGGACATATAAATACTGTCTGATGTGTGTGTCCGACAGGTCTTGTCACCTCATTCATGTGTACAATTGTTATGAAGCCTTTAATTCTCCTAGTTACAATGTATTCATTTTAATAAAAAGTTTTAAAGAACCCCCTAAATTATTTTGTATACTAGTCGCCCTTCCTTGAATAAATCAAATATGCCTAATGTGTGGGACATTGAAACTTAGTTCTTTTATTGATAAATGAATATATACTTTTATTTGTTCTTACAGATAATCAAGTTTCAAAGACCATATATATACATCATGTATAATGTTTAGAAGAAGTAATATTTGACATCACCTTTATGGTAAGTACCTTCTGTTATCAATATTTGAATTGTAGAACTATACAACAACTTATAGGTAGATAAAGGAAACAAGCATGCAATGGATACTGCTGTGTTTTTTTATTTGGAGTCACACACAAATTAATAATTATGTCCCTTATGCTTATTCTCATTAGATTAATCATTTTCTTGACCTGCTGATTATTTTTATTTAATGAAGGTGTGGTTTGTTTGTTTTCAGTTATTCTTTGGTGAAAATTAATAATTACATCACATTTTCTTTATTTCCTCTGAAATTTATAAAAAAAAGTAGGCAACAAATTGCTAATGAAATCACATAGAGATAACACATCTTATTGCAGGTAGTTCCAAAAGCACATAATTATACAACTTATTTTGAAAACAAACCAGAATTCTAATTTATAAATGTATTTATACTTTATTTGTTTTACAGAGAATCAAGTTTATAAGACCACATATTAAGATACAGGAAATTTACATTTATTCTCGCTGTAAAGGTTAGTAGCTTTTACTTTTTTTAATTATAAGACTAGTGAAACTAGCATGCAATGTAATAATGCTTTATTTGCTCGCACATATTCATAGATATTTTTTAACTGAAGTAAGTAAAATTTGAATTCTTAAACACAGTTATGGCATACATTTAGTAATTGTTTGCAGATGCCAGACTGAAACAAAGAGTTATTGTTCTTTAATATGCACTTTTTCAGATAATTAATCAACTTATTTACTTGAGGCAACCAATTTGAATTCTAATTTATAAATATATATATACTTTATTTATTTTACAGAGAATCAAGTTAAGAAGACCTTAATTATTTACATTAAGATACAGGAAATTTATATTTAATCTTGTTGTTGAGGTAAGTACTTAAATTTTTAGTTTTTTGAATTGTAAGATTATCATGACTATTTAATGGATAGATAAGTGAAACTAGCATGCAATGCAATACTGCTTTATTTGATCAGAGCCACATACAAAGAATCCATCCTAACACACAAAATAATAAATACATTGAGTTACGTCCCTTTATCAATAAAGATCTGCACATATTCATAGATATTTTTTAACTGAAGCAAGTAAAATTTGAATTCTTAAACACAGTTATGGCATACATTTAGTAATTGTTTGCAGATGCCAGACTGAAACAAAGAGTTATTGTTCTTTATTATGCACTTTTTCAGATAGTTAATCAACTTATTTACTTGAGGCAACCAATTTGAATTCTAATTGATAAATATATATATTCTTTATTTATTTTACAGAGAATCAAGTTAAGAAGACCTTAATTATTTACATTAAGATACAGGAAATTTATATTTAATCTTGTTGTTGAGGTAAGTACTTAAATTTTTAGTTTTTTGAATTGTAAGATTATCATGACTATTTAATGGATAGATAAGTGAAACTAGCATGCAATACAATACTGCTTTATTTGATCAGAGCCACATACAAAGAATCCATCCTAACACACAAAATAATAAATACATTACCACAACATACAGATCAAGTTTGTGTGACAGTGGATTCGCTTTCAGAAGCTCCTGCATGCGTAGTATATATCTCTGAATTAATACTATTTACCGACTTTAGAGAATAACATGAGCTTCACAACAGTTGACACATGTGGACAAACGTTTACCGTTCTGAAGTTATGCCCCTTTACAATTGGCCAAATTTCTGTTCCTAACTTAAATTTGCCTCATATAAATTCTAATTGATAATATTAGTTACATGATGTGTAAGTGACCTAATACGATATATTGGGTCAGTAAATTCAATATGGGGTGAGAGCATTGTTGTTTTAATGAAGGGTTGTGGCATCATTTATGTTTTGAAAGGGAAGTAACTCCTTACTAACCCCATATGGTAACTAACCATGTATGGTTGCTAACTGTATATTTTTTAGGACACCCTATAGCAAATATACAAAGTCACCACGTGTAGTCCTTTAACCAATCATATCTCTATAAATCTATAGGAGGTAAGATAAATGTATATATACTTTATTTATTTTACAGAGAATCTGCAACCTTAGAAGACCATATATTTATATTAGATACAGAAAATTTATATTTTACCTCACTGTTAAGTAAGTACCTTTTGTTTTCAATATTTTGTAGGTAGTTCAAGGGTATAGAAAAAAAATGACAGAATTTTCTTATACTTTGCCAAAATGAAGATTTTACTATGCTTTTTTAAAAAAAATAATAAAAAGTATGGGTCACCGCGCTATTTTTCAAGGTACGAGTCGTTCAAAATTGCCAAAATTTGCTTAGATTGTTCATGAAAAAACACATTTTTGTGCATAAAAAGAAATCTATAAGACAGAATTTTGAAATAAGATATGAGAAGATAGGTTTTATAATATATTTTAAGGAAATAGAAAGAAAAAATGGTGTCACCGAACTTGTTTTCTTGCTACAAGTAAAAAATGAAAATTTCCCTATATGTCCAGTATAAATTTTGTACTAAAAGAGTTATCTCCCCTTAAATGGCTTATTTGAAAAATTGATTCTAAAAACACAAATATTTGGTATTTGTTAAAACATTTTCGATAATGCAATGAATCACTAAGTTTTCTTTATATAAATAAACAGTGTAACCAATAAATTGCAAATCTGTTTCCAAATTTGCAGATTTGGGCAAAGAACCAGACCGATTATGTACTGTGATTGTACAATTCAAGATGGCGGTATACCCCTGAACTACCTTAAACACATAGTTTTTAATTCCTTGTTGCAACTGTTTATAAATATGAATTAAGGTGTATTATCTTTTAAGAAGTTACTTCAATCTGTTTTTACAGACAATGGCAAGATGTGAATTTTGGACTGAAGTTATTCCTTATTATACAAATGCTCGTGATGCCATTATGTATAGGTTTCTCTTTGGAGAATACTGTAATGTACTTCCAGATAGTAATATTTCTGAGGAATTATCTAATGTTTGTACATATCTAGGAGATTGTGACTGTTGTAATTGTAGAAGAAGAGCAAGTACTATAGCGGCACCTAGTACAATTGATTCATCTGATTCTCTGTTTGCATTAAGCAACAGGTTTTCAGATTTAATTGAACTTTCATGGCAATCACAGGCTGTTCCTACTTCACCATCACATTTTAGTGATAGTGAAAGTTGGATAACCTCTGATTCCAAGGACATTGAAGTTCCTCACCAACATAATGAATCATTTGCTTCAATATTTGTTGAAAGCAAGTCGTTCTCAGTTGATGAGGAATTAGATTTAGATCAACATTGGTTAACTGAGTCATCAAATATCTCGAAGAGTTATGATGATTTAGATAGCCAATGTTTGTCTGATGGCGAACACATATTCAACCAACCCCTTTCAGAATCAGGTGGTCTAAGTATTGGTAATGGTGAAAGTCAGTGCTCAAATGATTATTTTGGTATACCATATCCAAAACTAGTTGATGCGCGTTTCAGCAATACTGAAACTCAGCCTTCCATATATTTTAAGGATGAACTACCTTCAGCAGCAGGTGTATTAAGTTTCAGTGATACTGAAACTCAATTACCATCTGTTGTTGATGGCTTACCATCCCTAAAATTATTGGAAACAAGCTTTAGTGATGCTGAAACTCAGGCACCAGCTGGTTTTGTATATGGATTGCCTTTAGCATCAGATGAACCAAGTTTCAGTGATGCCGAGACTCAATGGCCAACTGATTTTGAAGGAGGAATACTTTCTTTCCAGAGTTTGGTAAGTGAACAGGATGAAGATAGTGATACAGATTGTTCATCCCATTCTGTTTCCCTTATCAAATTCAAGAAAATGAAGTAAAGTGGTGCAATTTTATGTGTTCCTTTTATATTTATTACATTTTTAAAAATTATGTTTTGCAAAATGCAGGCAATTAGACATGCAATCAATTTTAAATTCCAAACTAATGAGTACATTTTTCAATGGTTTTTACTTTGAATTAATTTTTCGGTAATTGCATGTCTGAACAAATTGAATAAATAAATTTCTGTTTATCTCAGGACTCTTGTTTACATCTTATTTGTCTTCTATCAATGTCTATACAAAAGCTAGAGTATAACTATAACTGTGATAACGTCACATACATTTGGATTTAGATTTCTTTTTACTGTACTCTAGTTTTTATGAAGAAATAGCTACTTGCAATTTTCATACTATCACAACAGCTCTTTATTTGAAATAATGGTTATGAAAATATTTTAAAACTTTGTCAATTAAACATGTATTTATAAATATTTTTATGTGTTTGAAAACTTTTATCAGTCAGTCAGTTTGTTCTAAATCTGTGATGTTATATTGGTAAATTTTGAAATTGCAAACTCCGGGATATAATACACACTTTTAGCTACCAATGAAGAAAACCTAATATGGCAAATGAGCATATAATGTTTAATAATGGAAATGACTTCTAATAAGACCAGAATCATTTATATAAAGGAATTAAAATTTATTTGTAAGGTGAGAAATTATTCCCAAAGCTTTAATAAAAATCACATGCTTTTGATATTTGTTATTGCACAATATTTTCAATACATTTTACCACTATTTCAGGTTAAAAACTAATTTGGAATATGAATTATTTAAATTCTTTAACAAGTTTGACATTGATTCAATGATTCAATAAGCAAAACTTATCTTAGTGGTACTGGATATTCCAACACTTATAATGTTTTGCTAGAATCTTTACTTTTACAAATTGTCAGATCATTTACAAGAAATGAATTTAGAGTACAGTCCCTTTTATGTATTTGATATTACTTTTAGTTCATATAAAAAAAAGAACGTGTTATGGGTAACATGTATAAGGGATGTTTATTTTACGATTAGAATTGACAAAATGTGTCTTACTTACAGCACACTTTTTATACAAAGGTAATAAACTTGCACATAATGGATCACGTTCCTCCTCTTCCATTTCACATGGAAACTCTAACAAATAAACATGTGATCAAATTATTTCACGAAAGTAAAACGCATTTTAGAGCAGGAAGTCAGCGTATCCTGCATAGATGGGTATGCTCTTTCTTGAATAAAAATGAAAATGAGATACATTTGAGCAGTTTATTCAAAAGAATAAAATCCGTGATTGCCAATCTTCGAAAACTAAAAACCACACGAAGATATGAAGAAGCTGATGCATATGAAAAACATTTATTCCAAATTCCAAAGAGATTTCACATTAAACCAACCAGCACAAATTTGGACTCTCAGCATAAACTAATCTCCCTGAAGAAGAAAGTTTCTGTTTTATACTTACAATTGGCAAATGAGAAGAAAAAGGTGAAAAGAAAAAATACTAAAATAACAAATTTGAAGAAAGAAATTGATTTTATTAAAGTTTTGAACAAGAGGCCAAAATCTACAGCAAAGTACGTACAAACAGATGCAGTAAAAACATTACCTAAAATCAGCATGGGCTCCCAGTGTAATTTGACAAGGCTAGACAGCATGGAATTAAAGAATGAAATAACTTACTGGCAAAATGAAGTCATCAAAATCAACCAAATGAATGAACGAGATCAACCTGTACCATCGGTGAAAGAAAAAACTAGAGGAAATCCATTCTCCCATAAAATCAGGGAATGTGTATTGGCATGCATTTCGAAAAATGTGCCAATGCAAAATATTTCAGATGTGATTGGCAATATATGCAAAATTTTTAATGTAGAGGAAATAGACACTTTGCCCCCAGTTGCATCAATTCATAACATTTCACGAGAGGCCAAAGCAATATGCAATAAGCAACTTGAAGAGGCAATTAAACATTCTGACAATTTAACCATAATGAAAGATGCTACAACAAAACCAGGGAGACAATTTTATGGTGCGAAAATAAATTGCAGCACAGGAGAATTTACTTTAGGTAATTGATATTACTTTTAGTTCATGTAAAAAAAGATGTCTAAATAGTCTAATTCGGTTGGTCACAAATAGGGGTCCAACAACAACAAGGACCCCACCAAAATATAAACCTAAACTGTGTACAGGCCTTGCATGATTTCAATTATAGAGAAATGGAATGTTCACATTTTAAGATTTTCTATCTCTTCTGTCATATAATTTAGTTGTGAACTGTGAACATATTTAAGGTATCATAAAATTGATTAAAAATATGGGAAAAGAATGAAAACCATAACAGCCAGTGGCAAATATTTCATGCATATTCCTGACAAGACAGGATGAACACATAGTATTATTATTATATGTGAATCACCAAACATATGCTTTGCAGGATTAAAAGAGATATCAAGTGGGACGGCAGACAAATATGTAAAAGCGACATTAGATATGGTCAATGAGGCTTCAACCACTACTGAATTTGTTGGGAAATTAACGAACTGCATGACAGACAGGAGTGCGACCGAGTTGAAATCCAACAAGTTACTTATCGAACTAAAAAAAGAGGAATTGACAAATGACAGTGAACTCAATGAGTTTCAGTGCTCCGTACACCCATTGTTACAATTTGCGGATGAAGTGGAAAAAGTTGCAAAGGAAATTGAAAAGAAGTATGATGTGAAGTTTAAGAACTTATTCCGAAACAAAGGCGAATCGTATTCTCATAATTTGATACGGTGTGTTTCCAAGTTATTTCATAGTGACAAAGTTGGAGACCCCCTTTTTTGTCGAAGTTTTTTACGGCAAAATGATATAGTACATGTCCCTATATTAGACTTTGTGGGCAATCGCTTCAATACTCTATTTTATAATGCTTGTGGTACTTTTTGCCTTAAAGATCTTCTGACATCATACATTACTTCTTCAAAAGATAAACCGAATTTTATGTTCACATCTATTCTGCAACTATTTGAGAATGAAGTCATCACAGCAATAATACAATCTATTGGAATCATCTACATCAAAATTACCGCTCCTTATTTTTCTTTGGCATCTCAGAACAAATCTGCACTGGAAATGGCAACAACTTACAACACTTTGGTTGATGAATTAGAAAAAATCGTTAAAAATCCCGCTTTACTTTTAGATACAGAATATATAATGTTTCCAGGTCATCCTTCGGAAATTTCTACTTTTAATATGGCAGTTTTAAAACCACTGGTAGCATATTCTACAGTCATAGAATGTCTTGGACAAATGGCATTGTCTATCTTAAGTAAATGCCGGAAATTTTTCACAAATTATCTTCCAGGAGGAAAATACCATAATCCATCTTTAAAAACAATTAATGAGTCATCAACTTGTCCGTCTAATAATATTTCTTTAGAGAGAATGATGGGACAACTCGACCGCCAAAAAACCATTTCACCCAACATAAGTTTGCCGACAATAAATGCAAAGTTGATGTTGAAAAACAACAAGACAATGGCATGGCTAGGGGAAAAAAATGAGGAGGATAAAAGTATAATTATGGCCCAGGCAAGAAAAGATGCTGAAATTTTAAAAGAAAAATCTATTGCAGATGACATAAAAATAGAGCAGGAAAGGAGAGAAACTATCAAAGAAAGAATTGAAGAAAAAGAGGCAAAATTGAAAAAATCACAACAACATTTAAAAGATGTAATTAACCAAATTGACAAAATGGGGGGGAAATGGAAAAATGAATTTGAAATGAACAGCTATATTCAGGCATTGCAGTATAAAAAAGATAAGTTGAATGCTTTAAAAACCCAAATTCTATTCCGAAAAGATGTTGAAAAACAAATTTCTGACAAAACCCTATTTAGAAGAAATTTAGATATACAGCAATTACAGAAAAAATTTGATAAATTTGATGGAAGAAGAAAACAAAATAACAAATCTTGAGGATGCCATAGTTCCAATGGAGGTAGATGCAGATATCAATTTGAGTGGAATATTAAGTAACCATGACAACCCATCATCACCACTGCCAGCTTCTTCAACCGTAATTTCAAACCCTGATCAGTCACCATCTACACCTGAACCATCAACAGCTAATAATTCTCAGTCGCCATCATCATCATCCGTTCCAAAACGTAATCAGTCTGCATCTCCATCTGCACCAACACAACATGAATTAATTTCTAAACCACCATGCTGGTTTAACCAGAAGTACATAACACATACTTGGGATGAGGGGTCAGAATTGACAACCTACCATGGGAAAATTGTACATTATGCGGCACGCAGAAAAACTTTTAGGGTAAAAAAAAATTTCAAATTTATCTGGCGTGCATGTAGACTCCTCGTTTCACATTTGTTTTAATGGTGTACTGAAAAATTAGACTTACATTGTCACCATGGGAAAATAATAATATAACAACCTTATTGAGGTGAACAAAATACCTTCCTTATTCATTGTTGAAGCATATATTCGCAAATGTTTTTATTTCATTTGATGCATGCAATTTTTAACACACACTTTATCATTAAATATATATATCATGTTACATCCAAGGTGTAGGATTACAACACATCATCACACCCCATCCCTTCACAAGTTATGGTAGGAACACAATATTTCACGCATTGTACAAACTTAATTTCAAGGGTTTACACACATTTAAAGGTTGTATTTATTAATTATATATATAAAAAAGAAGATGTGGTATGATTGCCAATGAGACAACTCTCCACAAGAGACAAAAAAGACACAGACATTAACAACTATAGGTCACCGTACGTCCTACAACAATGAGCATATCCCATACCGCATAGTCAGCTATGTAAATGTATATATAGATTGTAGAATGTAGATACATGTATATATATATATATGGAACTGCAATTATTCAGTATTTAAAAATAAATTCCAAGTCTATCTTTTTCCTGTTTGTAATTCCATTATACTCAATTTCCTAAAATTTTCCATGTTGAATATTTTAGCGACTTGTGTACAATGGAACTGATCAAATTGAAAGTTTAATATCAAACCATATAAACTTTGACAAGAAAAATTGAAGCCTACCACAAAAATTGACTCTTTTATATGTTAATTAGCAAAATTTAATTCATTGCAATAAAATTACTGATATGGCTGCCATAAAGAATGACTACTTCAGTCTGCTCCCCTGTATGTAACAAAACACTAGTTTTATTTCACTGTTCAATAATGCTTTCATAGCTTAAGTTGTGGCTTTGTCATTGCTTTATTCATGCTGCATTTTGTCACTTTATGTTGCATTGCTTTTATATATTATGTTGCTTTGTGTTAGTTACTTTATGTTGCTTTGTGTTAATTTATGTTGCTTTGTGTTACTTCATATTGCATTTTTTAGTTTATGTTACTTCATGTCATTTTATGTTGCTGCTTTGTGCCAGTTAATTATTGTGTTGCTTTTATTTTATTTTTAAATAATGATTTGAGAAAATTTATTTGTTTACTAATACTGTACAGTGTTGTGAAATACGACTTTGAATCTACTTTAACAAAAGCTAAAATAAGAATATATTTCTTTTAACAGGTAATATATTGGAATGAACTGGAGGGCCAAATAGAGAACACAAACCTTGAAAAGTATGACTTAACAGTGAATGAATTGAAAAAAGACATAAGTGAAGGGACTTTAAAGATTATGTAAGTGTTCTTCAATAACTATAAATTGAAATAATTTTAGATGTTATCTTTTGAAATTACAAGGAAAACTTGGACATGTAGGAGTATGTCCATGAAGGACTCAAAATGACCCTTAAAATCAAAAATATATCCTAAAAATAAAAAAATAGAAAAGAATGTGTTGCTTAAATCTGAAGAGTTAGAAATAATGAATGAAAAACATAAAGAATAGAGAAACATGATCTCACAAAGTAAGAATAACAAATAAAGCTACCCATTCAGACAGTTTTAAAAGTGGTCATTTTAATTTAATTTGTAGAAAAAAAACTTAGAATTTATTAAAAAATGTTGACGATAAAAAAAAATCATTTGAACATTGAATCGAAGAATTATGTGATCACAATTTGTTCCATTGTTCTTTTCTGTCAACATAATAATTTTTTTTAATTTTTCAGATATTGATTTAAGAAAGAGACTATAGTTTATTTTAATCAAACTTTTTATAGTAAGTAATAAAAATGAATAAGAGTTATCTCTCTTTGCCAAGTCAATTTTTGGGAAATACCTATTTGTTACTATATAAAGATGCTTCAATAACGTCCTTAAATTAGCATCCAATCAAAAAGTGTAATATTTACAATTTAGGTGAAGGTCTCCAGGTGAATATTTTATGAAGAAAAGTAGATTGTAGTGAAGTTGAATTTTTTTCCTGAAGTAGCTACCTTCATTTATGAACCCTAATCGAGCTGTTTAAAGTAAAACCACTCAGGTGAGAAAAACAGCTCACCTGTGTACTATATAAACATGCGTGTCACTTAAATACTCGCTTTCAAATTTAGCTCGCAGTCGAGATGTTCGGTAAGATTTAATGTTGAAAAAAAAATAATATGGCTCAAACTCAATTAAACTCGCCCAGTTCTAGAGGGAAACATACTCCTTCCCGAGATTTGTTGGAAGATTTAGACTACTTGTCTGATGTTCAATCTCAAGATGAAATTGAACTGTTTGACGATGGTCAGTTTAGTGACCTTAGTGACATTGAACATGCCAATGAAGGTGATGTTTCTAGTGCCGATAAGGGCAATACTTATATGGGCAATTCAAGTGCCACTAAAGACAAACACAATGCCAATAAGGAAAAACAAAGTGCCAATAAGGGCAAACTTAGTGCCAATAAGGGCAAATTAAGTGCCAATAAGGGCAAAACTCATGCACAATCAGACGATGGGGCGTCTGGTTTAGATTGTGAAAGTGACGAGAGAGCCACACGTAACTGGTTGCCGGATAAAAGAAATCCAGTAGAATCATCTTCTTCCGGTAAACGAAAACATGTGGAGGATTCTGGTGATGAATCGGAACAGGAGACCGAGATTTCCTCCTCGGATAGTGGGGAAAGTTCAGATAATGACAATCTGTTTGATCCGTCTGAAATTTTGAAGAAAGGTATCAAGGTACCGGGTAAAATTTCAAAATACATTGAGAAATATGCTAATCAGGGCATCACTAAGAACGTAAGGTTAGAAGTCACGAAGAACTGTAACATTCCTATAAGTAAAAAGCTCGCTTCGAAAGAAACGGATAGATATATAAAGAAACTGTTTCGTAAAAGTTTAATCAACCACTTAATGCCAAGAAAGAACGTTCTATTATTAACTCTGAAAACAGAATATTAGATGCTACTGGTCCCTTAGCAATTTTATGGACAGAAGCAGAGAAAAATAAGAGACGTGATCGTGGTTTAAATCCAGTAGATGTCATATGTATACTTATCTGATCGTCGTAGGTCTATGCTTGGTAGAGTATTACCAGAATGTTTAGATTTATTAGCGGATAAAGATGGCAAGAAAGCTCTGTTAAAAAGTTCTCATGAACTATTTGGCCGTAAGTTCAGGAAATTGCTCACTGAAGAAAGTAAGGACAACAGGGAATTGTTTAGCTTACTTCAAACTGTACGCCGTTCCAAAAATAAATCATCTAGATTTGGTAATGGTAACTTCAGTGGTGGTCATGGAAATGGTGGCCGTGGCAATAACCAGTATTTTCGGCTCGAGCCCCCAAACAACCAGAACCAGAAGTTTGGGGGGCCGAGGCAGGGGCAGAGGCAGAGGTCAGTCAAGATCGACACCAGGGATCCAAAGGAAGGGGTTCAATCCCAAGAATTAAACATACAACAGGTAAAGGTTCAAGAATTAAGTTTTTTCCCCGTTACAACAGACCATTTTGCTCACTTACCTGTAGGGGGGAGAACAAAACTGTTTGTCCAGAACTGGGGTTGACATCAGATCCTTGGGTCTTAGATACAGTTCAGGGTCTAAAACTAGAATTCTGTCAAATACCGCCAAGACAAATTCAGTGCCCCAAACTATTTTTCGACAAAGAGAAAACAACATTGATCAATCAAGAAATTCTATCATTGTTAGACAAAAAAGCAATATGTCAGATATCCCAAAGTCAGGAGTATTTTCTAAGTCACCTTTTCTAGGTCGAGAAAAAAGGGGGAGGACACCGTCCTGTAATAAATTTAAAGCAGTTGAACAATTATTTGATGTACAATCATTTCAAAATGGAAGGGATTCATTCAGTAAAAGATTTAATCCAAAAATCAGACTGGATGATAAAAATAGATCTGACGGATGCTTATTTGACCGTCCCAGTGTTAAAACAACATAAAAAATATGTCCAGTTTCAATGGCAGGGAAAGACCTATCAATTTCAGGTACTTCCCTTTGGAATTTCAGTCGCCCCACTAGTATTTACAAAATTAATGAAAGTCCCAGCAAGTTTTCTAAGACGACTGGGTATACGTCTAGTGGTTTACTTGGACGATATCTTAATAATGAACCAATCAAAAGAGAAATGTCAGTTAGAAGCACAAGTAACAGTAAAGCTTCTCCAATGTTTAGGATTTCTAATAAACGAAAAGAAATCAGTTTTTGTCCCATCTCAACAAATGCTTTTTCTAGGATTTCTAGTGAACTCGGTAGATATGAGTCTGTCCCTTCCGACCCCAAAAATTCAAAAAATACAAAAATTATGCAAGGAAGTAAAAAATTCAGAAAAAATAACAGTGAAAAAACTTTCAGAATTAATAGGAAATCTGACGGCTTCAATTCAAGCAATTTTTCCAGCCCCACTTCATTACAGACATTTACAGGTAGAAAAAAATCAAAAGCTCAATCAGACTTTCAGTTACAATTCAGAACTAGTCCTGTCTCAAAAAGCACAAAACGAATTAAACTGGTGGATACACGAGTTAATTCATTGGAATGGAAGGTCTCTTATTTCCATCCAACCATCTGTAATCATCCAAACAGATGCAAGCAATGTGGGATGGGGAGCAGTAATGAACAAAGTGTCCATAGGGGGTCCTTGGTTACAATCAGAAAAAAGTTTTCATATAAACGCCCTGGAATTAATAGCAGTGACTCATGCAGTCAAATCTTTCTTAAAAGACGGACACAATTTACAGGTGTTGATTCAGACAGACAACATAACAACAATGACTTATATCAACAAAATGGGAGGGACTGTGTCCAAAGTTTGCAACAAACTAGCCCTAGAGCTTTGGACATGGTGTCTCCAGAAAGACATAGTGCTGAAAGCAGATTTCATCCCAGGTCGAGAAAATCTGATGGCAGATTGGGAGTCCAGACATCATTTAGACTCCAGCAATTGGAAACTTCATTCAAAGGTTTTCAATTTTTTAATGAGGCAGACAATGATCTGCAACATAGATCTTTTCGCAGATCGGTCCAACAATCAACTTCAAACATACATAAGCTGGCTTCCCGATCAGGAGCATTAGCGTTCAATGCTCTCCTACATCCTTGGGCAAGTTTCAAGGCTTATGCCTTCCCCCCCTTTCTGCTTGATAGCTCAATGTCTGAAAAAAATCAAAGCAGAGAAAAAAACTGTAGTTCTGGTAACTCCTGCTTGGATGGCACAGCCATGGTACGCAATATTGCTGGAAATATCAATACAACATTCAATTCTGTTGCCAACATTTCCACATCTGCTACAGTCACATCAAGGGGAACCTCACCCAATGATTCAAAACAAATCGCTTCAACTAGTCGGATGGCTTGTCTCAGGAGATCATATCAAACAATGTCAATATCAGAGGAAGTTAAAAAACTTTTGCTCAGCTCCTGGGGGAAAGGAACTCAGAAATCTTACGATTCGGCCTGGAATAAGTGGGTTAGCTGGTGTGTGGAACGGGAAGTTGATCCCTTTTCAGCACCTCTAACCGCTGTTCTAGATTTTTTGGCATGGATGTTCCAAAAGGGTTTTCAATACAAAACAGTTAATGTCCATAGGTCTGCATTATCCTCTATTCTTCCTCATATTGATGGTCAACCAGTGGGACAGACACAATTAGTTAAAAAATTAATGAAGGGCATTTTGAGGGAAAATCCACCTTTACCTAAATATCAGGAAATGTGGGACATTGATATTGTTCTGAAATTTCTCATTTCTCAGTCTGTTAACCCTGATTTGGATCTTAAAACATTAACCAAGAAATTAGTAATTCTTTTAGCAATAGCTGCTCCGAAAAGATCTTCTGAAATTGCTAGACTTGATATTAGATTTATGCAAATAAACAATGAAGGGGCTAAGTTTCAGCTCCCAGGTATATCAAAAACTCAATCTGATTGTAATCCAAAGAAATATTTTATCCAAAATTTGAGGACAACCTTAAATTATGTGTGGTTGATTGTTTACAAGCTTATTTAAATCGTTCTGTAGATTTTCGAGTGAAGGATAAGTCTAAGCCAAATCCATTACTTAGAACTTTAGTTAAACCACACAGAGGTGCCTCGTCTAATACTATAGCTAATTGGATAAAGGATATTATGAAGTTAGCCGGTATTGATACAACTAAGTTTAAGGCTCATTCAACTAGAGGGTCCTCAACTAGTAAGGCTAAATGTCAAGGAGTTTCTATATCAGAGATTTTGAAAATAGCTGATTGGTCAAATGCTTTAACTTTAAAAAAATTCTATTTCAGACCATTGCTGGAGGATAGTACTAGTGATCAGTTTTCAAAGAAAGTATTAAGTTTACCTTCAGGTATGTTAGTAATTATGATTAACGCTTTGAACGTGCAATGTTATATCTTATGAGTTTTTCTGACGTATAATTGTAGATTTCATGAGGACGCGAAGCGTCCAATATGAAATATAGATTATACTAAGAAAATGATTAAGATATAACATTGCAATTTTCCTCCCACCCAATACCCAAAGATAATATTTTATGTGGATTAGTACAAAGAGTCAATGTATAAGAGACTATTCATGTCCAGATACTACATATACATGATACACTATATATACACACGCAAAAAAAAATAAAAAAAAAAAAAAATAAATAAATCAAAAAAATCAAGATCTTTATATAAAATAATACATGTAGTAATGATAACATATCAATTGAATTGATAATATTTATTATGAAGAACAGGTTTATTATCATTAAACTTTATTTTTCAGATGCATCAACCATGGAGTCCTAGCAGCCAGAGAGATTGTGATGATTGACTTTTGAACTGTAATTTTATGGATTCGATTCATTCGTGATGATAATGTGGAAGAATCATTGTGTTTAATTTCTTGTCAACAGACATTTCATAGATTCCAATAGAGACATGTTAAAGTTTTGGAACAGTCCAGATTTGCAATACATTTTGTATATGTTATAGATATATCTGTTGACCAATTAAATGGTGAAACAATATTCTTTTTATTAATCATATATGAAAGGAAAGGAAATTTGTACCAGCACTGGCAGTGGCAGCAGAATTATACATTTCTTGTTTTCAATATCCATGGTTTACAGTTGTCGTTGGTTATTATTGTTTTTGGTACATGTATGTTGATTAGTATAAAGAGGATTCTTATATTCTAGAAGTTCTGCTCGCAATTGAAAGCGAGTATTTAAGTGACACGCATGTTTATATAGTACACAGGTGAGCTGTTTTTCTCACCTGAGTGGTTTAACTTTAAACAGCTCGATTAGAGTTCATAAATGAAGGCAATTGCAATGTTATATCTTAATCATTTTCTTAGTATAATCTATATTTCATATTGGACGCTTCGTGTCCTCATGAAATCTACAATTTGTTTCTAATAAGCCCAGAATTAATTTCACATACAGATCATCAAGCCATCTCAATACAAATAAGACTTAAAGCTCAAAATAAAGGCAAAGGTTTCTTTAAGATAAATAATAGTATAATGAATGATGAAAAGTACAAAGAAATAATAATTAATCTTATAGACACCCATAAAGAAAAAATACTCACCAAAAATAATGATCCTAGAGTTACTTGGGACATTTTCAAAACTGAAGTAAGGGAGGTAACCATTGCATACTGCAAACAAAAGGCTGCTGAAAGTAAAAATGAAATAAAAATTTAAGAAAACAAGTTAAAATGCTTATATGAAAAATCAAGTAATTCAGAAAATTATAAAATAGAAATAAATAATGTAGAAGACAATTTACAAAATTTATACATAAGGGAAACAAGAGGTGCACAAATTAGGTCCCGAGTCAGATGGGCAGAACAAGGGGAAAAAAATACAAAATACTTTTTGGGTCTTGAAAAATCAAGACAAACAAAAAAAACTATTTCTGCCCTTAAAAATTATCAAGGTAATATAGTTACAGACGCATCAGATATACTTATTCTTTGGGAAAATTACTACCAAAACTTGTATAAAAGTACTGAACCAGACCCTTCTGAAATAAAAAAAATATATTAGCGAAACAAAGGTAGATCACTCATTATCCAATAATGATAGTCAACCATTGGGCGGCAACCTAACAATAGAAGAATGCACAAATGCTATATTCAATATGAAACTGAATAAATCCCCTGGACTAGACTGTCTAAGTGTAGAATTTTACCGTACTTTTTGGTCAAACCTAAAAGAATCTGCAGTGAAAGTATTAAATACATGTTATCAAAAAGAAGAAATGACAACTCTCCAAAAAATTGTTGTTGTTTCCCTTTTATATAAAAAAATGATCCATTATCATTAGAAAACTACAGGCCAATAACTTTATTGAATGTAGATACTAAGCTTATGGCCTATGCCATAGCGCAACGGTTAAAAGTGGTGTTGTCCAAAATTATTCATAGTGATCAGAATGTTTATATAAAAAATCGCTACATAGGTTTTAACATTCGCCAGATTCAAGATATTATAGATTACTCAAAAAGATTTCATATAGATGGAGTTGTATTGTTCATCGACTTTTCGAAAGCCTTTGATTCTTTAGAATGGCCCTTCATGTATGAAGCCTTATTAAAATTTGGATTACCACACTCCTTCTAAAATGGGTTAAAACTTTATATAATGATACTAAAGGGTGCCTGACGAATAACGGATGGATCTCAGAAACCTACAGTCTTCACCGTGGGATAAAACAAGTATGTCCATTAAGTTCTCTAATTTTTGTTAGAGCAGTTGAAATCCTGGCCTGTAGAGTTAGACAGGATTCTAACATTAAAGGTTTTCAAATTAAACTTGAAGAAAAAACGCATAGTCTAAAAAATTCCCAAATGGCTGATGACACAACTCTCTTTCTTAATTCTAAAAATTTGTAAGGGTTCCGCGGAACCCAGTGTCTCGCCTACTTTTGCTGTTAGTCGCAGGCTCAACAATAATGGGGAAAAAATTATTTAACATTTTCCCTCTAGATACTAGCTGTAATCATAAAGAAGTGTTGTTCAAGTTTGGTAAAAATCCAAGAAGGTTTATGAATCTAATAAATGTTTTAAAATCTTTAACTGCAGACTGTACGTAATGTTAACTGGAATAAAACTAAGTCCATCTATAAGTAATATACGGAAAAACAGGAAATAAATTTTTACAAAATTTCCATCTAGATACTAGCTTTTGATCATAAAGAAGCTTCTGTCCAAGTGTGGTAACAAATCCAGGATAGTTTAAGAAAGTTATTAAAATTTTGAAAGCTTTAACCACAGAGTGAATGTAATGTTAATTGGCAGAAAAACTAAGTCCATTTATAAGTGAAATACGGATAAACAGGATTTTTTTTTAACAAAGTTTACTTTTGAATACTATCTTATGATCACAAACAAGCTTCTGTCCAAGTGTGGTACAAATTCAGGATAGTTTAAGAAAGTTATTAAAATTTGCAAAAAACTTTAACCACAGAGTGAATGTTATGTTAACTGGCAGAAAAACTAAGTCCATATACGAGTAAAATACGGATAAACAGGATTTTTTGTTTACAAAATTTTCTTCTGGATACTATCTTATGATTATAAACAATCTTCTGTCCAAGTTTGGTACAAATCTAGGATAGTTTAAGAAAGTTATTAAAATTTCAAAAACTTCAACCACAGAGTGAATGTAATGTTAACGAGCAGAAAAACTAAGTCCATTTGTGAGTAAAATACGGAAAACCAGGATATTTTTTTTTTTTTTTTAATTTTCTTCTGGATACTATCTTATAATCATAAACAAGCTTCTGTCCAAGTTTGGTTGAAATGCAGGATAGTTTAAGAAGAAAGTTATTAAAATTTCAAAAACTTTAACCACAGAGTGAATGTTTGTGGACGCCGCCGACGACGACGACGACGCCGACGACGACGACGACGACGCCGCCGACGGAATGTAGGATCGCTATGTCTCGCTTTTGCGACAAAAGTCGCAGGCTCGACAAAAATGAAATTAGCCTAGCATTAAACCTAATAGAAATATTCGGAACACTTTTTGGTTTAAAACTCAATAAATCTAAAACAGAAGGTATATGGTTGGGTAGACTCAAACATTGTAAAGAAAAAATTGAAAATATACACTAGAGCAAAGAACCAATAAATAGTTTAGGTGTCTACTTTGGGTTAGATAAAGACAAATGTGACAAATTAAATATTGAAAAAATAATGAAACAGTCAAAAAATAATATTCGATTGGGAAAGAAGAAATTTAACAATGAAAGGTCGAATAACAGTTGTTAAGTCACTTATCTTACCAATCTTACTTTTTTAGCATCGGTTGTCTATATACCCTAAATCTACATAAAAGACTTCAAAAAACTTATATATAATTTTATATGGAACAATGAACAAGAAAAAGTTAAACGTTCAACACTTAGCAAAGATCACACAAATGGGGGTCTGAAAATGACAGACATTGATAATTTCTTAAATGCATTACAAATTTCATGGGTTAAACGATTAACTACAAAGGAATTTGCTAATTGGAAAGTCATTCCAACATATTATTTTAACAAATTTGGTAAAAACAACCTTATATTTCATATGATGCCAGACAACATAAACTCAATATCCAATTTAAGTAACACATTACCCTCATTTTACTTGAACATATTAAAGAGCTGGTACAAAGCAAATAATACACCGACAAGTATCATACCCATCACAAACTTTACAAATATTAGGCAGCAAATGTTGTGGGGTAACAAAAATATAAAATTTAAAAGGAAAATGTTTAGTTTATCTTAATTGGATAAAAGATGGTATTATTTACATCAATGATATTATTGATTATAAAGGGCATATTTCACAAAAAGTTATATTGGAGAAATTAACCTCTAAACCTAATTGGATCTCAGAACTTTCAAAATTGAAAAATTCAATTCCAAAACAATGGCTTAATACATTAAAATCTGATATATCCATGAAAACTTCGGTAAAAACAAATTTAAACTTGTCATTGACTGTTAACAGAACAACTAAACTAATTGAAAATATGTTATCTAAAGAAATATACAACAATTTAAATATCAAGAATGACGAGAGACCTATAGGATTCTTTAAATGGAAAAAACATCTTCAAGCTAGAATCAATCACTCCAATAAGTAATATGCTTCAATATACTTTTTCTTATTTAATAAATAACAAATATAAAATGTTAAGATGGAAATTGCTCCATTTCATCCTCCCATGTAAACATTTACTACAACAATGGAACATAGAAGATACAAGTATGTGTGTCCTGTGTAGTTTGACTGAAGACTACGAACACTGTTTTCTCAAATGTCAATACTTTCATGAATTTTGGAATAAAGTATATGCGCTTGTAAGCAAAACAAAGATAGGGTCATATATATTTAATATAAAAACTTTAGTTTTGGGCTATAAAATACATGATCCTATGTATCATGATATAAATCTTTTCTTAACTATCTTAATCTTCTCAATTCATAAAAGTACTCATATATCAAATTATAAACAAAAAGGTATAGATGCTTATGCAGTTTTCAGAAATGAAATTTTGAATACATACGAAATTAACAAATTCATTAATGCTAAAAACAGCAAATTTTTAAATGATATAAAAAGATACATATAATCATGAATAGCTAGAAATCTACTATTTTCAGATATACGAAAACTTGTGTAAAATCTCATCATGTATGCACTAAATAGATCTGAACACGTGGTAAGAAATTAAAACAGCATGCTTACTGAAAACGAAAGTACAGTAGTTGTCTCCAAACTCATATGCGCATTATTTATTACATGACGGCTCAATCAGAATGTTGATACTAACTTACGACTCCAAGACTTACCACTTCCAATATTTAATTAAAGTTTAAGCTGTTTGCGAGAACAATCGATAAGACGCATGAATTCATCAGGACAACTGATTAACGGTTCTTTACAAGAGGTTAAGGTCAATGATCATAAAGTTCTAATACTTAGAAACAAAACCGGACAAAACTGTACATTTTCCGTAATCATGCGATCATGTAATTTCCAAAAATGTTTGTATTAAGTATGAGTTGTAAAACTAACTAACTATTTATAAATATGAATTCACTGGGTAATTTCCCCGGTTATTCAGTGACTAATTCACAGGGATACTCGGCCAACTGCTGTAGGTCGAGTAATTTGTCAATACAGCAAAGAAAAGTGCAATAAAGATATTTTTAGATGAAAAAAAATTACTCTAAATGTCAGCTTCTAATACCAAACACAACTTTGCAACTGGTCGTAATAAAGTTGTTGAATATGTTTTTAGCCTCACTATACGAACATTGTCTGATTTCTCCTTTAGTACTTCAATGATTCTTCCTAAGTTCCAAAGGTTCCTCGGTGTATTATCCTGGATCAATACAATGTCTCCTATTTTCAGGTTTCGCTTTTCAGTGTTCCACTTTTGCATACTTTGTAGTAAAGGCAAATACTCATGAGTCCATCTCTTCCAGAAAATGTCTGCTAGATATTGCATTTGTCGCCATCGTCTTCTTACGTAATTGTCTGTCTTACAAAAGGTTCCTGGAGGAAAGTATTCACCAGGTCTTAATAAGAGAAGATGATTCTGAGTAAGCACCTTTAAATCGTCTACGTGTTCAGATACTTCAGAAATCGGACGGTTATTCAAGATTGCTTCCACTTCACAAAACAATGTATTTAGATTCTCATCGTTCAATCGAAGGCTCTGCTCTTGCACGACAGAATATAACACCTTTCTTACTGATCTTATAAATCTCTCCCACACGCCTCCAAAGTGTGACGCGGCAGGAGGGTTGAATGCCCATTTTATACTTTTCTGAAGCATGAAATCACTTATCTTGTCTATGTTCCATCTTTCTATTTCCACTCTAATTTCCCTTTCTGCTCCAACAAGATTTGTTCCGTTATCGGATCTAATGAATTCTGGATTTCCTCTGCGAGATATCAAGCGTCTGATTGCGTTTATACAAGAATCTGTTTCCATAGAATGTGCGATTTCCAAGTGAACGGCACGGATGGAAAGACAAGTAAAGATAACTCCATATCGTTTCACTGAACGTTTTCCTTGTTTGATCTGAAACGGTCCGAAAAAATCCATTCCAACCATCGTAAATGGTGGTTTGTCGGATATAAGTCTCTCCTTTGGTAAGTTAGTTATTTTTTGATCAACAAATGGTGCACAGTACTTCCTAAAGATTACACATTTTGATACTATTCCTTTAATGATAGAGCTAGCACCAATAATCCAAAACTTTTGCCTTAGTTCCGCCAGAATTGAGTTTTTACCCAAGTGTCCTACTGAACGGTGAATGTCTTCAATGATCAACTTTGGAATGTTAGAGTCTTTCGGTAATATTATTGGGTGTTTCGCATCATACGGTGAATCAGCACGCTCTTATCTTCCTCCTACTCTTAACAAACCATCGTCGTCTATAAATGGATAAAGTTTGAAGAGTTTAGATGACTTCTTTAACACTTTACCTCGGTCGATATTTTGAGGTACATGTATTTCTTCTTCAAAGTGAACATTTTGTTTATATTTAATGATAGCCATTTCTGATCTATGAAGAGTTTCAGTTGTCGGTAACGTGATCTGAACATCTTTCGTTACTCCGTTCAATGATCTTCTAACTGTTAGTTCATTCTGATTATCCACTGAGTTCTCATCTTCTGAATGACGTTTGTTTCTTATATGTTTTCTTTCCTTAACAAGTTTCCTAAAGTTGTCCAAAGCAATAAATAGCCAACTAGTTATTTTCTTCAGTTTCTTCCATTTTGAGAAAAGAGAGAACAGTCTATCTAATCCATGATGTTCGTTTGACAATAGTGTAGTGTTAACGAATCGTTTCACTTCTTTATCTTCATCAATAATAGTCTTGTCTATGTGCCATTCTGGCCATTCTATTTCTGGTTTTCAAAGATACTCTGGTCCATTGAACCAGTCTGGGGTTTGATTCAAACTTTGAAACTGACATTCCCGTAGATGCATAATCTGCGGGATTAAGCTTTGTATTAATATACTTCCACTGGTCAACGATTGTAGCTTTATGAATGACTTCTAAGCGGGTTGCAACGGAAGAGTGGAAACGTATATTCTGATTGCTGATATAGCGTAATACTGACATACTGTCTGTCCAAAAGAATGTTTTGTCTGTACTATAGTTTAACTCCTCCAATATTACTTTGCTAAGTTTTACTGCGCGCGTTGCGGCTGTAAGCTCCATCTTAGGTATAGTTACCCATTTCAATGGTGCTATTCTAGACTTGCCAAGTACAAAAGAACAATGAATCATTCCTTCATCATCAACAAGGCGTAAATAGAATACCATTCCGTAGCCAATTTCACTAGCATCCAAAAAGCAATGAAGTTGAGTTGAAACAACCTTTCCAAGGTTTTCAGGTTTATAGCACCTGTCTATTCTCACGTTCTCAAGGTCGGAAAGCTTATCTAACCAATCGTTCTATTTCTTTAAATCAGTTCCTGTAAGTTCTTTGTCCCAACTAAATCCTTGTCTGCACAAACCTTGTAGAATAGATTTAGCATTCAGCACGTACGGCGATATTATTCCTTAAGGATCGTATACTGAACTAGTAATTGAAAGAATACTTCTTCTAGTCGCTATCTTTTCTTTGCACTTAATTCTGAATCCAAGAGTGTCAGTCTCTATAAACCATTGCACACCTAATGCACGTTCAACTGGGAGGTCATCCTCAAGACTGCACTGCTTGACCTCTTTAGCACGCCCCTCCTCTGGTATCGATTTAATTACGAGTGGGCTGTTACTGATCCATTTTGTCATGTGAAATCCACCCTTTTCACACAAAGAAGTTACGTTCTTTATCAACGATATTGCCTCAACGTCAGTCGATAATGACGAAAGACAATCATCAACGTACATGCTCTTAGTTATTGTGTGTGCTACTACTTTGTCATAATGTCACCGAAGTCTTCAGCTGTTCTTTTTAGCGCACAGTTACAGCAACTTGGCAATGACGTGGCACCGAACAGATGTACGGTCATTCTATACTGTTCCGGTTCATTCTCAAAGTTACCGTTCGGCCACCAAAAAAATCTTAAGCAGTCTCTATCAAGTGGTGGTACTTTCACCTGGTGAAACGTTTAACATAGCTTCTATATCTCCCAAAATTGCAACTTTCTCTTCACGGAATCTTACGAGAACACCTAGAAGGTTATTAGTGAGATCTGGTCCCTGTAAGAGTTGTTTGTTCAGAGACACACCCATATATGTAGCTGAACAGTCAAACACAATTCTAATTTTGTCTGGTTTCTGACTGTGGTAAACACCATGATGCGGGATATACCATATTCGTCTATCGTTTCTGTTGAACTGTTCTTTTGGGACGTGTTCCATATAACCTCTTTCTAACAGTTTTTCCATAAAATCAGTATAGTTCTGTTTGAATTTAGGATTCTTGATAAACTTGTTCTTAAGACTTCTCAGTCGCTGCTGGCCCTGGGAAGCATTATTCGGCAGTTTCACATTGTTGTCACGGAAGGGTAGTGGAATGTAGTACTGTCCCTTTTCAAAATGAATATTTTTATTCACATAATCTAAGAAAGAATTGTCGTCTACTGAGTTTTCTCTCTTGGCATCTATAATGCGTTCAGGAAAACCAAAGTTCATAGATTTTTCAACTAACTCGTTAAGCCTTGAATTCTCTTCTTCGTGAATCGCAGACATCTGTACTCGATTAACGACTTTATTAGATCATGTACATTCTCGCATCATGTCCCATATAATCCATCCTAATCTAGTGCGTGTGGCATGTGGGGATCCAATGGGTCCTGTTGCTACCTCAAATGATGTGTAGGCATCTGGGACATTATTGCCTATCATAAGTCCAATACTAGCATCTAGCTTAGGCCATGTTATTCCCGACAAGTGACCCCATTTCGAGATTTCTTCTTGTTTCGGAATGTGATCCACTGAGACTGGCATCTCATCCTTTGTGTAGACTCTTGGGAGTTCTACAACATCATTCATTTCTAGGTCTAATACTTGTAATCCAGAAACTGCATAAGTTGTCATCTTATACGGTTCTCCCATGGTATTAAGTGTTATCTGCATTCTTTTACCATTTTCACCTAGCTTATGCAACAAATTTTCCGTACAGAAAGACACGCTACTTCCTGAATCAAAGAATGCGTATGTCTCTACACAAAGTGCTTTATTTTTCAGTTTTACCCTTACTGGTATTATAGCCATTGCACATGACATATCTCCAGCCCCTATTTGGCTGTTAGTATCTGATAAATAGATTGTGCATGCGCTGGTCTTGTTTTCCACCTCTGTCGAACTTTCACTCTGTCTCATTGGTATAATATCTCTTGGTACTTTGTCTTTTCGTGAAGTAAAGTCGGATGTCTTTTGTTACAAATGAGGCATGTGGCTTGCATTTAACAGTTAACTATCCTGTGTCCTATTTATTGAGACAACCAAAACAATGACCTTTGCTCTTTAAATGTTCAGAACGGTTTCGAATACTCAAAGATAGTATGCCTTAGCAATCTTCCAATTTATGACAGTTTCCACAGTAGGTACCTTTCAGTTCATTTACATGCTTATCATGTTCGTTTTTAACATCTGTGGCAAAGCTCATCTTTTGAGTCTGTTTCGATTTATTATCAGTCGCATTTTTAGCCTTCTGGTCTCTTGTATTATTCTGTTTTGCAGAAACCGCTATATTTCCATAAGTTGGGTCGTTGGCTTTTTTAGCTTCCTGTTTCACAAATTGCACAAAGTGTGTAAATGTTAATGACTCTTTCTTTTCCTTTGTTCGCATTACTACATTTCTCCATCGATCATGAAAGTAGAATGGTAATTTAATCATTAGTCGTTTAATGTTCTTAGAGTATTCCAGAATACGCATAGCTTCCATGCTTTCAGCTGCGTTTTCACATTCAATCAA